TATCGAAGGTGCTTGAGCCAAAGATGTAGTATCTGTCATGACTGAATATGATCGGACAATAGTAAAGAATAATAAGGGAAAGTGTCAAAGTTCAGCAATGAAGGTTGAGAGAGAAACCACCAATTTGAGGCTGGACTTGCGATGATGGTCAGCTGTAAGTTGCCCTAGTTTTCTCAGAAATCCCAGCCTTACGGCTCTGATACCATAGAGAATACTGAGTAACCTTGTATTATTAGTTTTTCTGTATATGTACAGGTTATTCCCTTCACTATATATATATATATACACTTTCTGTTACATAAGATTAGGAAAGAATATGGGGTTAATCAGCCAATCTCCTAAACTTTAGGAACTGATTATTATCTTTGATTTCCTATTCTAAAAATCCTCCTATAATAATTCATCCACAATTTCCTACATATTCATTCTCATAGATGATGCAAAAACTTGGCAGGAGAGGTGTAGTAAATTTGCAGCTCACAGGGTTTTCAGTTTAAATCCATCTTGTGACCATGGACTGGTTTGTTTGGTTGTCATAATAACTACAACTTTTTTGCAGGCGAAGGGCCGCCTTCATCGATGGGACTTCGAGACAGAAGAGGAATGGGCAACATACAATGAGCAGAAGGAAGCAATGCCAAAGGCTGCATTCCAGTTTGGAGTGAAGATGCAAGATGGTAGGAAGACGCGGAAGCAGAACAGAGACCAGAAGCTCAATAATGAATTGCATCAGATTAATAAGATACTTGCCAGAAAGAAGATGGAGAAGGAGTCAAATGGTGAAGCTAGTCATCATATGGATGATATGCAATCTGTAAAAAAGCTCCGCATATGAAGTTCTGAGGTTGACTGGAGTGCGATGTTTGCCCATGGCAGTCTAATGTTTTCTTTTGGTAAAACGTTTGTTTGTATTTTAGAAAGGCACTTACTTAATGTGTGGATTCCTGTCTTCGTTGCAGGGCTCCTTGAAGGATTGTCCATATAGTAAAAATGGTAGGCTAAAACATACCAGTTTCGGCTCAGCGCGTCAATATATTTTTTAATGGGAGGTTAGTCATCTCTTTTTTTTTTTGGGAATATTATTATTGCTATCTCTTGGTTCTGAAATCCCACTGAATAACTTTATGTTCGCCACGAGGGAGCAGGGTATTTACCTTGAAATCTATTTGATGTTTGAGAGAGAGAGAGAGAGAGAGATCTTTAATGGATAGAATAGAATACCATTCACCTTGGTGTTATTCAAGAAAGATGATATACACAATAAGAGTATGTCATTCACTCAAAAGAGAAAAGTGAATAATCACTATCCCAATATCCAATTGGGTACTGCTTTGAAATACTAAAGAAGTTTTTAATCTTTTTTTTTTTTTTTTTTCACTTTTATTCTTTAATGAACTTACATTAGTTGTTATTGACAATTATTAACTCTTATATTTTTAATAATATTTTAACTTTAATGTTGACTGATTACTAACTATTTTTGGCATAATATTTTAACTTTTAATACCCATGGGTTACTAAATAATTTTTGGTAATGTTATAAAACATATATAAAATATATTTCTGAATCATGTCTAGTACGTTAAATTTGGTCTATTGATTACTTCAAAAAAAAAAAAAAAATTGTTTTCACCCTCGTAGAGATAAAGATGAAGTCACTTAAATAATAAAATACAAGTCTTTTTGTAAGTTAGATTTGAGTTAGAGAATCTGAATTAATTTTGAAATACGATTGGTCAATTTAAAACCTCAATTATGACTTGGGATAATAATTAATTATCGGTTAATGCAAGCAAATTATAATACAGTGAAGAGATTACAAAATCTACTGTAGATTAATGACATTTAAAAACTCAAAATGCTAATTGTTTATATGATATTTTGGGTACATATTGACGTGGTCGAAGACATTAATTAATAGACTAAAAATATCACTCCGTGGTAGTAGTTAAACTCGTTAATTTTAATTGGAGATCGAACGAAATTGGAGTAAAATTTAAATATGTATTCGCGATAAGTAAAAATTTAAATATATATTTAAGTAAAAAAATTTATGATAATTTTTTTTTTAATAAGATTTTGTAATAAATCTTGTAATTTATGTGGAATATAATTGTAAACCTACACTTTTTTTGGTCATTGAACATAAAATTACAAAATTTGATTTCATATATAATTTAATGTAAAATTAAAATAATATATTTTAAATTATTTTGTACTTCACAGAATATGAAATGCATTTCTCTAAATCTTAAAAAAATAAACACATTTTAATTAAATTGAATGTAAATTTACAAAAAGATGTTGCACCAATTAATAGTTTGAAATTTGAACATTTCCATAATTTGAGGGTCCAAAGCATTAATTAAAATGGGAAGAAAACGAAGAAGCATCTAATTAGATGAGGGAACAAACGGACTTCTTTAGAGAATATTCTTGCATTTATAAAACAAATATTTAATATTTTTCCATCTGTTACAAAATTAATTTTATTTTTATTTATTTATTATTATTATTTTTTTCCTTTTGAGAAAAATTTCAACATCATTTTAAGCTTTTGTTCGGGCCCATGGTTGAGTGTCCTATTCTACAGCTTTAGGCTTCGGCATTATGGTCTTCCTCCATCAGTCCATCTGCAGGCAACCCAGTATTCAATGGAGGTAAAGCTGATAGCCCAAATAGCTTTTTGTTTTACGTAATCTTTTCATTTCATCTTTAATAGGTTGCTGCCATTACGTCTTCTTCTTTTCTTCATCTTCTTCTCCTTGTTATTATTGCTCCTGAATTTTTCATCATCAAAAATCATATCAAATACGGAGGCTTATGCGAATTTGGTACGATATTGTCCTTATTTTCGCTCTTTCTTCTTTGGATTATTTACTTTCTGTTGGCATTTTTTTATTGTCCTGTTATATTGGTTTTAGCGATACGAACCCTAAGTAGAAATTAGAAGCAAAGACACGGTTCCTGTGGTTTCTTTGATGCCTTAATTTGCTGAATTATTCTTATCTCTTGTCAAATATTAGAATTGGGCGAGTTGATGATTAAAAGGGGAAGTTTAAGTTATAAGAAATATTAATTAATTGAATCTCAAGTTTTATTTCTAAATTGTAGCTTTTTTTTGCCCTGAAGTTTTGGTTCTTGTTATTGTTTAATTTCTACTGTTTGAGTTGTTATATGATAATTTATTGCTTTTTTTTAGAAAAAAAACAATTTCTATTAACGCGAAGGTGTTCTTCTTCCAAAAAAATAAAGGCAAAGTGATATTACTAACACCAAGGAGGTACACAAAAACAAGGGTTTATATGATACCTCCTGCACTTAAATGTCTTTGCATAAATAAATTTGTACAATATAGTTGCATAGAATATGCCATTTGTATTTCTTGTTGAAGCTACATATCTTCGGCTATGTTATTGCTTTCTCTACATGTTTTACTTCCTTTTAGCTGTACTTTTCTTGGCATGCTTGTGCTATAGGCTCATGATTTGGACTTATGGATGCTTCAGAGCTCCTAATTTCTGTATCTGTCTAAATTGCAGTGTAAAGTTCTAGTTATTTTGGTCATGGAACGAAGCTCCTATTCTTCACTTTCTAAGCTAGAAAAGGAAAATAATAAATACCAATACGAGGATGATAATATTGGTTCTGTATGGACTCCGGAAGGAAATATTTCTAGTCCGTTAGGTTCAAAGTCCTCTAAACAAAAGTATGCATATCCTTTTCCAGTTGATTCAGATGATTTTGTTGATGGGGGATATGATTCAGGTGATGACTCCCTTAATTCTACGCGGAATAATGTGCTCCCAGAAGTGAACTTGAAAAATGTATTGAGTGGGTTATTTGCGATTGTAACTGGGCAGAACAAAGTCCCAAATGTCTCTCCGAGTCAGCAGAACCGCAGTTCAAATGCTTCATTTCTCGGTTCTGGAAAGAATGGAGATACCTACTTGCACTCATCGGTTTACATACCAAGTGCCCCGCCTCTTCTTGAATCAAGTGGAATTAACCATAGTGCTTACAAAGAGGTGCTGGAAGCTGAACCCCCGGAGTGGCTACCAGATAGTTCTACAGCTTTTTGCATGCAGTGCACTGCTCTGTTCACAGCGCTTTCTCGTGGTAGACATCATTGTCGGTTTTGTGGGGGGATTTTTTGCAGAAACTGTAGTAAGGGGAGGTGCTTGCTTCCTGTTAAGTTCCGGGAAAGAAATCCTCAGAGGGTGTGTGATGCCTGCTATGATAGACTTGATCCCTTGCAGGGCATTCTTATTAACACCATAAGCAATGCTGTTCAAGTAGCAAAGCATGATGTCATGGACTGGACATGTACAAGAGGATGGATAAATCTTCCAGTTGGTTTGTCAATGGAACATGAAATATACAAAGCATGTAATACATTGAGAAGTTATTGCCAGGTATTAATTTTGTTTTAAGCATTCTAGTTTTGGTTTGTTCTAAGTTTCCTGATTTGTCAACTCTTTAAGGATCAATTGCAGCTTATTTCAAAATGAAGTTCACAAACTTTTTATGCAAATTTGGTTGACTGGACAGGTTGCCCGGTTGAATCCTGAGAAATCCATACCCTTGGCAGTTCTCAGAGGAGCCAAGGGCTTGGCAATTTTGACAGTTGCCAAAGTTGGTGCACTAGTTGCATACAAACTTGGGACTGGTCTGGTTGTTGCTCGTAGGTCAGATGGGTCATGGTCCGCACCATCTGCAATATTATCTGGTGGTTTAGGATGGGGAGCACAGGTAAATATTCCCTGAGGTATCCATTATCTTATCTGTTTTCAGTGGGCACAAAAGTTTAGTTCTTTTATTACATTCATTTTGCAGTTTTCTGTTTTTTATTTTGGTTAAGGCCATTGTATCATTTTCATATTACACTTATGTTTTCCAGATTGGGGGCGAGCTGATGGACTTCATTATTGTGCTGCATGATCTTAAAGCTGTGAAGACATTCTGTAGCCGAATGCACTTTTCTCTTGGTGCTGGCTGTAGTGCTGCAGCAGGTCCTGTGGGGAGAGTGCTGGAGGCAGATCTTCGGGCTGGAGACAGAGGTTCTGGCATCTGCTATACGTACAGTTGCAGCAAAGGTAAGTATCATAATTGATCCTATCTCAATTAAGTTCTCCGTTATGAATTGTCTGATGTGTTGCTGGTAAAATGGAATTAGCACCGTTCTTTAATCCTATGAAATATTGTGCTTATAAGTTCATTTTCAATTTTTATGAGGAGTTTTGATGAGTATACATTTTTAATTCCTTAGAAGTTTCAATCTTACAAACTCAAATCTTATATGTGGAAAACTGCAAGAATGTCTTCATGACTGTTCTAAATCATAGATGGAATTTGTATGTGGCATGCATGTATCTCCCTTTGAATTGATCCTTTGCTTGTTATCTTGACAAGAAAATCAATTTACAGGAATGGAGTCTGTAAATCCTGAAAGGGAGCACCTACCTGCTCCCTATGATATTGTTTTTTAATGGCTCTCTCCTATAATACTCATAGTGACCTCTCTTCTAGTTCTATTGAACTGATGTTGCTGATTATGCTGTTTGTATTGAAAGCTAAAGCTGGTTTTGATGCATTAATCTTCAGTTTTTGAAAATTGTCTTGTATGAACAAAAAACTTGGGTCAGTGTGGCAAATAAGAACAGTCAAGCTGACTCATCATGTTGGCAAATTAACAGGAGCATTTGTGGGAGTTTCCCTTGAAGGGAATATTGTTACAACAAGGATGAACACAAACCTAAAATTTTATGGCGACCCTTATCTAATGACAGCTGACATTCTACTTGGGACAGTGGAAAGACCAAAGGCTGCTGAGCCCTTGTATATGGCTCTCAGAGATCTCTATTCAAATTTGCGCTGTTAGGTCTTTGGCGGATGGATGTCCTGCTAGCATCCCGGGATTGGCTGATGTGCGAAATTCTGATATATGGTAAGTGATACTACAATTCAACTTCGAAGCCGCCATGTCTGTGTAAATAGTTTCAGAATGTGGTGGAACTGTATAAAAACAGTTATTCATTCGGTGACATCGATGTACATGAAAGGATATTTAAATCCATGCTAAGTATTTAAACCTTATTGAAGCTTGTATATAGAGTGGACATATGGTTATGTTTTATAGAATGTGTTTTCTTTTTGTTGACTTTAAATCAGGGATGTCTTCCTCTGATGCTCCACAAAGAAGTAGATACCAAATTGCATTACTCCACAAAAAGTACTGCATCTTATGCTAGTTAGCAGATCAGCTTTTAAAAATTTTATCACTTTTATATAGTGTAAAAATCTAAAATGTGTGTGCACAACTAATATCTTTTTAAGTTTTCCTTCATCAATTTAAATAATGGGTACATTTTGATAACGATATTACTTACATTTTTTATTTTAAGAAATTAATAGAATATTTGGTCAAACCTCGAAGTTCACTATTTATTATATAATGAGTTTTTGTATATTTTTTAAACTAAAAAAAAAAGAGTAATAAAACCCTTCTAATTGATATTCATATTTATATTTATGTGAATTCTACTAAATGCTTGAATAATTTCAAAGCACAGATATAATATGGTGTAAAGTTCTTGTGCTTTTAACAATTTTAAGCAAAAATGCCAAAACTTCTTGTGGGAGTAGAGAATGCCATCCATGTATTTTGAGCAACTTATCATTGAAGTGTCAAGTACGATATTTTAGTTTTTTTAACTTTTTATTTATTTTTTATTATTTGATTCTTATTTTTCTTAGATAATATAATATAAAATTATACAAAAGGAAAATTAAATCAGAAATTATTTATTTCGTAACATTATTTTTTTAAAAAATAATTTAATAATTTAAATTATTATAAGATATTTATTTTTTTTTTATTTCGATCAATTCATTAATTTTTGATCAAATTAAAATAAAGACATGCATAGCAGAATACAAGACATGATCTATAAAGTAAAACAAGTCATAACAAATTATATAAAAATTAAGATACTATACGTATATATTTTTTCAAACACAATTTTATTCGATGAGTTGTGAATTATACCAAACTATTTTTAGTTTCTAAACAAACCTTAACACATTTTTATTTTATTTAGTTTTTAATAGTGTTAATTTTTTAGAAAAAAATTAAAAAATTTGAGGTTTTTTTTTATAAGAATAATACATTTAGCATTAAAAGAAAAATTGAACTAGTATTCGAGATTTACATAGTAATTTTTTTTCCAAAAAATTAATAAAATATTTAACTTTGCCGTTATGCCAATTCTTTCATAGTCAAAGAAGCAAACAAAGAATCAATACAAAAGGAAGAGCTTGTTGGGTTTTGTCCAGCCCGCGTGGAAATTAATAAAAAATTAAGGAAAAAAAAGAAAAGGTTGCCAGATTTGGAGGGAATGATATTCTCTCTCCCATGTATATATGTATATATATATATATATGCAGAAATTCAAAAAAAAGGTGGGCATTCAATTTTTTTCTCTAAGACTCTCTCACCTAGCACAAGAAAAACTGAGTACTTGTATTTTTTGGTGTTCTTTTTCGTTCTCAGGCACGCATTATGTGATAATCCAACTCTCTCCTAAACTTGTCTTCAAGTAGATGATATGTATGATTGTGTGTACGCATATAATGAGAATCATAATTTAAGTTCACATATTAAATTTTAAGTCAAGCAGAGTAAAAATGATAGGATTTGGAGAGCTAAATCTCTTAATAAAAGTTTCTCCCTCAATATAGGAACTTGAGTTTTCTAAACCCAAGAATGCTTCTGAGTTTAGATCAATATCAGAAAAGACAATAAAATACTTTGGAAACATAATAAAACAATCGGGAGAGAAACCCCTCATGTGAGAGAAAAAATCCCCCAATAAACACTAATTGACCATTTTTAATTAATTTATTTTCTAAACCAAAATACATAGAATGTGTGGCTCAAATTTGATTGAGGAATAGCCAAGACATTAAGGAAGAAGTGTGTGAAAAAAAAATGCCCATAGAAGAAAATTTGGGAGAAATGAGGGCAAACCCGAAAGGCATGTACATGAAAGACAAATTTGAACTTTTAGGCTTAATTGGGCCATATGTGGGCCAAATGGATTCGAATGAAGCCCAAACCAAAAATAGGTGATAATTGCCTGCTTGAGAAACATGTGAAGCACAAGTTTGCCAAACAAGATTAAGAATTGAGTAAGTTATGGAGTTTTAAAGTAAGGGCACGGGTATGGGCTTAACTTTATGTGCAATTTGGACTTTATGGGCCTTATGTGAACCTTAGATGGGCTAAATGTAATTTTGTTTTCGATTTTGTCAGTAAGTACCTGAAATCACGACAAGCAAGTAAAAGTAAAATGGGCTGACACATTATAAGAATCAAGGGAGTTATGGCTGTTAGAAGAGAAGACATGTGCTTGAAGTGTGGTTTTGGTCGGTTTAAATGGGCCTAAGGTAGCCCAAAACAGCTAGAATGGAGCCCAAATTTAGTGTGGAAGCACCTCGAAGGAGGATAAAGGGGTGGGAGGAATATGGATAAATATGGAAGCCTTTAGGGTGGGAGATTAAAATGATAAAAGTCCCACATTGATTAGGAAATTTAAAGTTACAAAGGTTCCACATCAGTTAGGAAGTTAAAATGGTGAATCACATATCTCACATCGAAAATGCAACTAACACTTGGTTCCCCTCTCCTATAAGTAGGGGATATGGGAAGGGGGAGAAGCATGGGGAGGAAAAGAGGAGAAAAAGAAGAGAAGGAAAGGAGAGAAGAAGAAGGAAGCTCTCAAGGGCAACCTTTGGGCTTTAGATAAATATATCTCTCTCATTTTAATTCGATTTTCCATTAAACTTTGAGAGTATTTTTTAGTAATATGAGGGATTTTTTGATGTTAGATATTGCTCAAAAATATTCTGGAACTTTGTCGAATTTTTGGAAGAAACAGGCCCCAATTTAAGTCGAAACTTCATCGAAGTTAAGCTTGCGTGTGATACAAGGTAAACTCATTTAAACACCTTTTTCTTAGAAATTTAGTTTCTATATAAAGAGATTATTTTTGAATTAAAAATTATCAATATTCTTAAGGAGAAACTGTGTCAAAATTTTGTTAGAAAATTGTGATAAACTAAAGGGAGACTCTACCCATTTGAAAACAAAAAATTTTGTTAGAAAATTACAGGAAAAAAGTTTGTCGGATTAAGCAGAGGGATTAGAGCTTGTGTAAGAGGGAATTTTACCTAAAGTAAGGTTTATATAAGCCCGAGGTAAGTGGATATTGTGATCACATAACATATATAGTTTTTAAGTGTTTTTATCAGTACTTTATACGTACTTTCATGTATAAAGTGCAAGTGTTTTATGAAAGTACTATTATATTTTAAGCATTATTTTACCCATATGTTTTGAAAAATGCTTTTAATAAGTGTGCATTGGTTGTTATCGAGATAAGCCATTCCAAAAGCACCTACATGATGTTAGGCTTCTGTGTGCCTATGCATAACTTTTATGTTTTTAGGTGCATAGGGATGTGTTAAGTGTTAAGTATGCATATATGCATACATAACAATAAGAAGATGTGAACAACACTCCATAACAATGATGTAGTATACCTCATTATACAATGTAGCCAAGTGAATGTGATTTTATGATTTAGTTATCTATTTTTTAACTTAGTTATCTATTTTTGTAAATGTATAAGATATGTATTTTTGATGTGTGTGAAAACTATATATATTGCATGTATTATGCTGTGTATAATAATATCTGCTTACTGGGATAATATATCTCACTTTCTCATCATTTTCAAATCCTGTAGAGACTGCTGAGGAATAAGCGATAATAGTAGAGAAGTCTTTTGCAAATTAAGCTCTATAAGAACTCATGTTAATATTTTGTATTTCTGCTTTCTAATGTAAAACAGAAAAAAAATTAAAGATTCATTTTGTATGTATATGATGTACATATATCAAGGGATGTAATGCTCATGCACTTTTGTATGAATGAAAGTTTTCTTATATTTTATTTAATTAAGTATAATGTGTAGTGCGCTCTGCATACACCCTATAAGAGAGAGGTAGTCGTGACACATTATGCGAAGAGGAGAAAGAGTTTGTTTTTCAGAAAAAAAAAAGCAAAACCAATTTCAGATTTGATTTTTTGCTTTTCTGCATATGGTATCGAGGAAAACAGAAAAGAAAGGGGTTGTTTTGTTTCATGCACAAAAATTGAAACAGAGAAAATTGTTCACCAAGTTTGGTAATTTTGTTTAGTATTTATGAATCAATTTTTGAAGGATTATTCTCTAATTTCTTGATGTGATCATTCAAGAAGAATTGAGCTTCGTTAGGGAGGATTTATGTATCTCTCTTGAATATTATATACTTAATTTTTATGATTATGGATTTAACTCGGAATTTGGCCCGTAGATTTTTTCCTCTACACTAAAGGATTTTCCATGTAAACCTTATGTTTCTTTATTTTTGTAGTTGCTTCTTTGTTTGCATTAGAATTGATTTACAAATTGTTTGACTTGAAATTATAAATTAGTTCTTTGAGAATTAATTTTGTGATTAACTTAATTTGAGCAAGGTTAGATTGTTTTTTTTTTTCAGAAAATTCAACAAGTAGTATCAGAGTTAGATTTATTGGTTTGTTGGTTGATCTATAGTTTGAGATTAATTGTGTAAATTAGAATGAAAGAATTTACTAGTACAATGATTAAATTGTAATACTCAAATTATTCAATTTAAAAGTTAAAGATATATGATCTTTTTTATTGCAAAAATTTATATGATTCTATTAAATTAAGAACTACTAAGATAATGAAAAAATTAGATAATGGTTGGGAAAAAAATGCATAGAAACACTGTAGAAACTATCTAACATTGTGTGGATAATATTGTTTATCATTATATAAGCAAGGAAATGAATGCACAGGTTTTATGAAAGAAATTAAAAAATATGTATGAGAGAAAAAATGTTCGGAATAAAACTTTTGTTATTAGAAAAGTTATCAATATGAAGCTGAGAGATGAACAATCAATTGCATAACACTTGAGTAAATTTCAAAAGATAGTAAATGAGTTTAACACAATAAAAATGACTCTAGATGATGAATTACAGGTGTTATTGCTCTTGAAGTT